CTCAAACAAGAATTTCTACCCGAGGCTATGTGCGATAGTGTTTTGCACTCTCAGTGTCTGTAATATCAGGAGCAACCTGGTGAGGAGAATATTTCAGCATGGAATCTCATCTTAGTCTTGGCCCCATTACTACCTAGGTAATAAAGACCTAGCCCTCAGGCTGCATGAAACCAACTGAGAAAGAGAGAGATACACGCTTAACCAGGCTTGCTTTTTATTTTTCTTTAAACAAACTATAACACAAAAATGAGACAAGCCATGCTTATGACTAATACTAAATTAACCATAGGATATTTATAAAATTTATTATATCCCAGACTATAAAGAAAAGTGCAAAAAATTTCAAAAAAGTAGAAATTGTAGAGGTCATACTGACTACGATGTAATAATATAATAAAGCTACAAAATAAAACATAAGGTTTGCATCCCCAAAAGAAAGCCTACTTGTAAACTACAGAACACTTTACTAAATAATCCTTGGGGCGCAGAGGATATCAACATTGATATGTTTAAAACCAGACATAAAAGCTTATCTACTCCAGAAAATTTGAGTTTGACATGTTTCTATACTTGAAAAGAGAAAAAGAAAAGCAGGCAGCCAGTGGGGGGGAAAAACTAGAATTTTAATGTAAGAAGTTTCAAAACAGGAAAAAACAAAATAGGGGTTTATGGGAGGGGAGGGGGTTAGTACTTAGTAAAGATTAAGAAGATGTTAAAGAATTAGAAAATACATTCAAATTTATTGGAAAAAAATGTTTTCTCAAAGTCAATGTGTCATAAAGACCAGGAGTCAAAACTCAAGACCAGTGAGGGGAAAAAAGAGCATAGACAAAAACACTACATTAGGAATAAAAAAGAGCTATAACAAAAAATACATAAAAGACTCCTTTTTTTAATTTTTGGTTTTTGGGGGGGAGGTAATTAGGTTTTTTATTTATCTTTGATGAGGATACTGGGGATTGAACCCAGCACCTTATGCATGTTAGGCATGCACGCTATCACTGAGCCCTCCCCACTAAAAGATTCCTTTTAAATTACAAACGAAAGACTTCCAATTAAACACAGCAGATTTAATACACTCTCAACCCCCACAAAATTTGAAAATGACATCAAGTTAAGCCCTGGGAGAGAAGATGATGGAAGGCAAGGATGTGGATAATATTTCAGAAGACAGAAGAGATGGACATATGGGAATTGCCTGAGAGGAAAAACTAAGAGCCAACCTGAAAAAAAAAAAGAGAAAGAGAGAGAGAAAATAATTAATCAATTAAAATAAAATAAGAATAAATAAAAAGCAACCTGAAAAGCTCAGGAATTGGGGTCACTGAGTGCCCCCAGGAGGCAGGCATAAAGGGTAGGGGCTGAGAATTCGAGGAACTAGTTAAAAATATGGAGGAGTCGTTAGATACCCAGATCCCCTCTCTAACCCTATAAGATGGAGTTTTACAGCCTGGAGAAAGTGGGCCAGGAAGGCTCCCAATTATAGAGGCAACAGTCAGAGCTGAGGTGAGAATGCGTGCCCATACTAAGCGTCCATCAATAGTGGGTAAATTGATTTAACCATTTTGACATTAGTGCATTTTAAAACAGTACCATAAGGTCACTGTCAATTCATAATCACATGCAACCAAAATCCTGGAAATGCCTTTTAAATAGTGGATCCTGGGTCACGTCCACAAACCCAGCTGTGATCAACCAAATGGAGATGAACACTCACCCCAGCATGTGTGTGTAGTGCAGCAGATATATATAAACACTGTACTCATGAAATAAACAATAACACGGTAAAATGTTTGATCTTTTTCCTATCTGGAATACTTGTCTTTATAAACATGGCAGCATTTCTATATCCATCCAGTTACAGAAACTTATATTAGATAGAAAATATATCATGAAACTGTTGAGTGAATCTAACAAACACAAAATATTAAGAAGCAAAGGAGCACCACCCACTCATAAATTAAAGGAAGTCCAATCCGAATTAGTGAAGGACAGAAGTTAAAGGGTTTTTAAATAAATAGAATTAAGTTCAAGTTCACTCAATAAATAGAACCAGACCCTCAAAATACGGCCTTGCAGGAAGTCAGTCAGATATAGGAAAGCACTCAACTGGAGAGACAGAACTTGATCCTAAATCTAGCTGAGTCTAAGTCATCGTGTGGTTTTTAGCAAATCACCTGGCCTCTCTGGTTTTCAGTTTTTGATCTGTGCTTCTCAGAGTTTTAAGTACATCCAAATTATTTGCGGAGCTTGTTAAACCACAGGCTCTGATTCAGCTGGTCTGGGGTGGAGCCCTCTATTTTGCAATTCTAGCAAGCTGCCAAGTGGACCATGTTTTGAGTAGCAGAGGGTTCAAGGGCCCCTAAAGTCCTTACCTTCTAATATTCTGACGCTTCATCCTTCGGGTACCCACTAAGAATAACTTAGCCTAAGTGTAGTCCCAAGAACAGTACCTGGCATGTTTGGCTCATTAAGTGTTTGTTCCCCATATTGCCAAAAAAGACAAGACGTGTGCCAGGCTACCAAAGGCTTCCCAGACCACCTGCAGAAGGCAAAGTGGTTTCCAGAGGAAGAGGGACCTCAGCTGAAGCTTCCTGTTCAGCCATGATTAGCCGAGTCTGCTCGGCCTGGCAGGGAGGCCCTCTGAATTCTTATTGCTTGAGGGACCAAATTGCCTTCTAGGGGTGAAAACAAAACAAAAAACAAAAAAAAACCCCACAACTTATCCTAAAGAAAGGAACAGAAAGCACAACTCCAAACAAAGGAAAGATAGAGGGATGGGGGAGGCCTGTTTCTGACCACACAACAGTGTCCATTGGTCAACAGCTCCTAGCTCAGCTAAGAATCACCTGGAAATAGGGTAACCAATTCAACTCAGTTTCAATACTAAAAGTCCTATGTCCCAGGAAACCCCTCAGTTCGGTGCAAACCAAGGCAGTTGGTCAATATACCCGGAGAGCTTATTAGAATAGAATCCCCAGAGAATCCGATTCAGGAGGTGGGGGTGGGGTCTAAGAATCTCCATCTCTAAGAAGCTTCCAGATGACCACACTACCAGTAGCTTTGAAAGTCTAGTTCAATCTCAAGGACTTGGGTCAGAATCCTGGGGAAAGAAAAGGCAATATCGATGACGTCTTTCACCAAGTCTAGACTGATGCACAGCCTAGCGATAGAACCAACGGGACAGAGAATAACCCAAGGGAGGAGACCCTCCAGGCCAATGGAAGGATCACTGTGCCTTCGCTAGAACCTCAGGGGGAACTGCGTCAGGGACAGCTTCGCATCCACGTTAAGGATGACTTCCTCCTGTCTTCAGCAGATTCTGCCGGAGAGAGCAGAGAGGTGGCTGCCCTGTAGTAACTGAGGGACCGTCTGCAGAGGTCAGGGCCCCACCTTGTCCCTCCACCTTAGGGATGCCTAGAAGTACTGGCAGAGAAGCAGGAGAGTGGGGACCCCAAAAATCTCGGAGGAAAAGCCTGACAAGTACCCTTTGTTCCTATGATTGTGTCCCCCAACTGAGGGCTGCCCCCCTAGGTTCACTTCCCTTCTCTGCAGTGACTACACCCGCTAAAATCACATGCAACAATGAGAGGATCAGACAGGTGCCAGTGTCTCAACCTGCATTGGAGTCTTCTCTCATGCTCGCTGACTAATGTTAGAAAGCAAGTTAAACTGTCAGAGCT